TGTGTAGTAAATTCTGCTCCATCTGAAAGCACGTGGTGATGATTTACTGCTGATTACAGAACCGGCTTTTTTTAACAAAATGCACATGACAATCGCATTCGATTAATCGTGCAGCCCTATGTCTGAATGTTAGTAATATCCTTGCTGATACAGGAAATGAGCAATACTTGTTGTTTAAGATTTTTTGTAACCACATAGATGTACCATATAAGTCCATAAATGTCTGTATAATTATTTTTTTGCAGTTTATATGCTTGTATATCTTTGTTGATTTCTTTTTGGAAGCATTTATTCTCTGTCTCTCCACACAAAAAATCTTGAAAGAACAGACTGCATGCAGAGATAAAAGCACCTTTGCATGTTTTTATGTTTCAACAAATATCTCAAATTCTGTCTGTTTCGTTTCTCCACTTTTTCTCTCTCATCAGAGGCAGGCCAAGCACTCTGAGAACAAGCTGAAGTCGATCAAAGCTCGGAACGAATACCTGCTGACGCTCGAAGCCACTAATGCTTCAATCTTCAAGTATTACATTCACGACTTGTCTGATTTAACAGACGTAAGTACTGGGGAATGAAAAGGAGGTTCAGGGATTCTACCACAGACGAAGAAACTTTGTGTGACAAGTAGGACAGTTATAAATAGTTTCAAACTGACCTCAGGTCTGCTGGGACAGCTAAATCTGACAAAGACTGCTGCCGTTTTCATCGGTTTCTTGGTTGAATATGCATCTTTGTCTACACCTGCTTTGATCTGAGGAAATGCATAGACTCCTCAGTAAGATTTCTGTCAACGTTGCATTCAAATTTAAGCTCTTGAGACAAATGCAGGTGTGTCTGACAGGAATGAGATGTTTTAAAAAATGCACTGTGGTTAAAATGCATTCATTTCCATATCTCCCAAGTAACCACACAAACCTGTTATTTAAATACGTTTTATGAAGGACTGATTGTCAAATGCATTCGATTGAGAGAGAATGAGGAGCTTAACATAACGTCTGTGTAAAATTAGGTGGTAAAAAATGATCCTCGTAGAGAATAAGCAAAGAAAATAATGGTGGTTTAAACGTAGGTGGAGAAACCAGAGGCCTTTTCCAAAAGTGTGTGACTAAATGAAAAAGCTTTTATTTTGCATTTTTATTTCTAGTGTAGTACAAAATTATTCATTCAATTTGAGGGGATCATTTACATTAATTAAAAAATTTAATAATATTTGGATTATCCCTCTTTTCTTTTAATGACAGCAACACTCCACAAGTTTGTGTAAAACCTGATGATCATATTCTCTATCATTATTTGAGATGATATAAATAGTTCTCCTAGATATAGTTGAGAATATTACATTTTTCTTATTCATTTCACATCATTAGTTTTCTTTGTTTCAAATATTCAACATTTCATTTCCAGGTGGAAAAATATTATTATTTATTTTATTTTTTTTTTTAGAATTTTTTACCCCCTTTTATGTTATTTTGTATGAGGTAGCTGTTGTCCTACTTTTATATTAAGGTACTGTATGTCCCCCTTTTGAATATGTCAAACCATTTTTTTAGCATGAATGTCGAAGAAGTGGCACCCAGCCCTAAAACCCAGTTTTCTGTTAATCAGACTGTCTGAGAGTCTCTTTTAGATCAACTACTGTATGTTACAATGTACCTTTTTCACGTTTTGAGCACTGAGCACTGCTTCACTATTTTACAGCCCCAGCTTAAATCATTATCAAATCCTGTCAGCATCATTTATTTATAAACGGAATATCCAGCAATATTATTTTCATCTACAAAACAAAAACCTCTCTGCAGGGAGAGAGTGTTTGGGTGATATTATATGCATGCACTGTCAGCTTTTTAGACATTTCTTTGGAGGAGAAAGAACTTGACCTTGTCTGGTAAAAATTTTATCTTGTATAAAGATGTTTTTGCCCCTGCATACTGCTAACGAACCAGTGGGTACCTCTGCATGGGCTCCCCATTATGGGTCCATGTTTATTATTATTATTTTTATTTTATTTATTTATATTTATTTATTTGTTATTTTGGCATGCAAGTCAAGCTCCAAAAACCCCAAAGCAGGTTCATAAAAATGGCTGCGTCATCATTTGGCTCTCAAGTCAGTGCATAATTTGACTCTCAATTTGAGTTCTGGCACAAGAACCACACCATTTCAGTGAAAAAAGGGCATCCAAATTCTTAAAACAATCAGCAGCCTGACAGACAGAGCAGGCCATCGTGATAATGAAATAAAATGGACTTTGGAGGTTTGCAGACGCTTTGGGAGTCGAGATCTGGCAGATCTTCCAGTGACACCCACCGTCAGAACTTAAATAACCTCCCCAAGGACGCCCCAGTTCTCCACCATATTTTATTATCCAATTTAATGCATCTTTTTGCATTTCAGTTCCCCATGACTCCAGTATCAGAGTCAAAATCAAATTATGGAAATTCCTGCCAGTCTACGCTTAGCCTTGAACAACTAGGCTACAGGGCTGTTTAGCACAAGTCTTCAGAATCCAAAGCCTTATAAAGACAGCACACAGACCACCAGAGCACAGTCAGTATGAGGTCATGTAGGAATGGTCAGACACAGGGTCACAAATATTACCAAAGCCACAGTTGCTGATAGACCAGTACGTCATGCTGTGCCATTGGTGTTAATATGTTTGGAATGTCAGCTGTGAGTAAGACCTGACGTTTGCTGAAAGTGACACATCTTGACTGGTAACCGATAGGTTGTAGGTTTGAGTCTGTTCAAGATCTGTCACTTTACTTCACAGGAACTGTCTATTCAATATGTGTACTGTCACTTTACATTTTGCTACACTTTATTTAAAATGTGTCCGTTAACTGACTGCTTATGCTGCTTTTAAATTACGTTTCACAATTAAAAATGACTTTTGTATAGATTTTGTGTACTGTTAATGACAAATTGGGATGCAACTTGCCAGAAGATGCTACATATTTACATAATTTATGAGATAGTGTACTGTCTTTTTAAATTTGGCCACTTTACAGTATCAGTGTCAGTTAAGTAACTTTTTATGCTGATTTCAAAACACACTTCACAACTGAAAATAACTGTACAATATAGTTTGTGTAGATATTGTGTACTATTGATGACAAATTGATTACAACTTGCCAGAAAATGCTGCTTATTTACCTAATTTATGAGTGGATAGTCTTGCACAACTAAAATACATTATCCATCAATATTTGTGGCAGCATGGGAATGATTAAATAATAGATTAAGCATCAATTACACACCTAATGTGCATCCTTTGCTCTTCTTTTTGTTGCACTAGTGCTTAAAAGCTTCCTCACTTTGTTGGGAAGTAAGACACACCATCCGCTTTATCATTTGAATGCAGCATATATTACATAGAAAGATTCTTTGCCCATTATTTATATTTTTTCTGGGCTTTAATAGGTAACGTTTCTCTTCTCTTGTCCTCTCGTTTTCCTGTATAGTGTTGTGATCTGGGATATCACGCCTCTCTGAACCGGGCTTTGCGGACCTACCTCTCGGCCGAATATAACCTGGAGACGTCTCGTCACGAGGGTCTGGACATCATTGAGAACGCGGTGGACAGTCTGGACCCACGTAGTGACCGCCAGCGCTTCATGGAAATGTACCCTACTGCCTTCTGCCCACCCGTCAAATTTGAGTTCCAGCCACATATGGGAGATGAGGTCAGATTTAAACAAAGCCTTACCCACACACCCACATACATATGTACAAACACAGTAGCAGCCACATTGTCACCCAGTGTTTGGTTAAGTTACATCTTAACACCATGTAAACTGAGAGAACTGAGATTTTCTTAACAGTCTGTTATGCTGTAGTTTTTTGTATGTTTTCTTAAACTGCTTGTGTTGTAATTTCTATAAATGTATGTCTAGTAGTTGTACAAGTAGTAGAAATATTTCTATAAAATCAAGTTTTTTTTTATTATTGGTTGATTATTCACAAAAGTAAGAAAATAATGGAAATAGCTAAAGTTTGTCTTGGAGATTAAGAAAGAGTCAACTTAAAATTTCTTTGTTATTTTTATGTTGATATTATTTTACAGATTTGGTTTTTCACATTTGATTGAATGCCTTAAAGTGGGACAAACCAAATTGTATTACAAATTTCCTCAAATTCATTGCTAATTGTTAACTGGAGGATGATGATAGTAAGAAATAAGAAACATAAAGAAACATCTGCAATATTTCCTAATAAATTGCCCAGAGACATGGCAAAAATATCACTTTTCAACCCAAAGTAGTGGGATTATTATATAAATATAGTCTATTTATTTTAAAATATAATTTATTCCTGTGGTGGCAAATCTATATTTTCAGGAGCCATTAATGCTGTCTTCAGTGTCACATTATCCTTTAGAAATCATTTAAATATGCTGATTTCAAGAATTTCTTATTTTTATCAATGAAGAATCAGTTGAGCTGCTTAATATTTTTTTCGTGGAAAAGGCGATGCATCATTTACAGGATTCTTTGATGAATAGAAAAGTCAAAAGGACAAAATTTATTTGAAATGGAAATCTTCGTAAAATTATAAATTTTTGTTTTATTTTGATAAAAATGAATGCATCCTTGCTGCATAAGGTATTAATCTCTTTAAAAGAAAATGTACTGACCCAATACTTTTGAACTCCCATGGTACATCTACCAGCCCATCCATTAACCTCATGCTAATCTTGTCCAAAGCCGTGTTGAAGCATATGAGATCATACAGGATACAGAGTGGAGAAAAGCGTCTTAATGAAATTCTGAATTATATGTGGTCAGGACTGCTTCATATCCTTCTTTTATTGTGTATCAGCTGGCAGCGTGTGCGCAGAGCGTTGAGAGCAAATCATATTGTATTTCTCACCCTCAAGCAGTTTTGAGAGAGTGTTTATTGGATTTATCTTCCTTAATTGGCCATTTTGTCACTGATATAATGTCTGCGCATGGTTTACAACCTGTTGTTTTGCAGTCATGCCTGTACTCTCTTGGTCAATGAAACCAACTGGAATTTTGCTTTATAAGAGTCGGTTATAATGATTGTGCCAGGTGTTGGTTATTTGTTTGAATATGAGATTCCTCCTCTAGGGAGCTCTGTTCTATTAGAGCAGGATCTCTAAAGGCCCGTTCACAACAAGGATGATAACTATAATGATAGCAATAAAGATGTAGTTTTAAAAATCATTCTAAATTGAAAAGAATAGCAGAGTCAACACCAACGATAACGGCACAGTGGAACAATATCGTTGGAATCGGTCAGAGGAGAACTGGCCCCCCGACTGAGCCTGGTTTCTCCCAAGGTTTTTTCTCCATTCTGTCACCGATGGAGTTTTGGTTCCTTGCCGCTGTCGCCTCTGGCTTGCTTAGTTGGGGACACTTCATTTCCAGCGATACCGTTGACTTGATTGCAAAGATACTATTTAAACTGAGCTGGATGTTGACATCACTGAATTCAATGATGAACTGTCTTTAACTGAAAAATTTGTTTACTATTGTCATTTTGCATTATTGACACTATTTTCCTAATTAATGCTGTTCAGTTGCTTTGACACAATCTGTATTGTTAAAAGCGCTATATAAATAAAGGTGACTTGACTTGACTTGAATCACTTTCAAAGTGTTTTCCCAGCTGATGAACGATGAAAACATTGACAGCCAATCAGAATCCATCCTGCTTCAAAGAGCTTGAAATAGATGACACAACGTTGGTGGGTTATGGTTAATATTCTTTGGTGTGAACCGGCCTTAATGGTGACTATCATCTTGCTTTCTTTTAGAGCTGGGCGATAAGGCGAAAAACATTATTACAATATTCATTTACCAATAATAGAGAAGGAAATGCTTTCCACATGTTTGTTAGAGCTGGAGAATGAACGTAAACATAACTTGTTTCTTCACATTTAGTAAGCTAGAATTTAGGACCCCATTAAATTTGTTGTATTTTTTTCCATAAATTCTGTGTTAATGATTTAAAGGGGTCACATGATGCTGTTAAAAATAACATTATTTTGTGTATTTGGTGTAATGAAATGTGTTTATGCGGTTTAAAGTTCAAAAAACAAATTATTTTCCACATACTGTACATTATTGTTTCTCCTCTAAGCCCCGCCTTTCTGAAACGCGTCGATTTTTACAAAGTTCATCTGTCTGAAAAGCGAGGTGTGCTCTGATTGGCCAGCTATCCAGTGCGTTGTGATTGGCCGAATTCCTCAAGCGTGTGACGGAAATGTTACGTCATGAAATTAATTAATAAAACTTGAATAATTTAATCAATCTTCTAAAATGTAATCAAATGAAAATATAACCATTAATGTACGACAAAAGATTGCATTTTTATTTTTTGTCAAATAAGATAAAAATTTAAACTTGGATGGAAATGTAAAGCATTTTAGTATACAGTAATATATTTGTCATAATTTCTTCACTTTAAACCAAACCTTTATTTTGGCGGATTGTCGTGATGATCTTTGAGTTTCAGTGTATTTGACCGTAGTTTTTCTCAAATTAAACTATGAAAAGCTGCTGAAGTGACTCTCGGAGCAGCTCTGGAGTTCATGTGGACTGTCCTCACATATTGAGATGGCAGACTCAGCACCGGGGTGTGTTTGATTTGTGTAGTAGATGAAACTTAGGCTGATAGATTAATCCATATACAGTTTATCATAGTTATCAACATAAATGTTATCACAATCTCGATATGATATTATTTATCGCCCAGCCCTAGGGGGAGGGTAGTGGATGACGTTCCGGGTCACTAAAGACCCAATGTAGGTTAATGGCTGCTGTCATCTTTCTGTGTTATAATTGAAAGTCTGTTTGTTTTCAGGTGTGTCAGATCACGGTCCAGCCTCCAATGCAGGGAGAACTCCTCCTGAGGTTCCAGCAGCTTCAATCCCGTCTGGCCACCCTAAAGATCGAGAACGAAGAGGTAAGGTGACCCGAGCACCGCCAGAAATGGTCAGGAGCAATGGAAGTAACATTTAAAATAGATCAACATGGCATTTGCAATCAGTTTTAATCAAATCCCTCACCTATACCATCACTTTTGTGCGCTTGAGCATATCTTCCTGTTGCATTAGAGCGAGGCAGCTTTGCAATGTGTTTGCTTAATTGAGTTGGCAGGAGCTGATCGTAAAAGAGGCTTTGGGAGGACTTACAAGAAATAGTTTTTTTTTCCTCCCTGCAGAGTTTTCACTGTCCTCCAGATAACCCGAGTGACGCACAGAGAATCTTCTCTCAGTGACACCGTCTCCCTTTTCTTCCTGCAGACTGTGTCTGTCTTTTTCACATTTTATTATCTTTGCCTTCTACAAGGCTGCAACATTTGAATCAGGCCTTAAGTCGAATGCTGAAAAACCACTCGGTCAGGAAGATGGAGGAGTCTGGAATCGCTTTTTGGCTTTATCATGTCCATATTAGATGAACGATTGTCTTACATCTGCCCTCTTCTTCTCTTATCTCCTTCCTGTTATTTCTCTGCCGTGAATCTTTTTCTCAGTTTTGAAAGACAAAATCGCAATTTGGCACTGAATGTGTCCAGTGTGTGCAGTTGTTGTTCCTGCACAGATTTAACATACCTTGTTAGCCAGATCTATATACAATATTTGATGCAGCATTAGAAATGGTCAGTCCTGTGTGAATTTTATTGCTTCAGGGAGTGGTTTTGTTGTGGACCTATAGTCCTTGGTAGACTTTCCCAACAAGTTGCTGATAAATCATCTGCTGTAAAGAACGATTGCTCAGCCCACTGTCAGTGTTGTCTTGGAAGCTAAATGGTTCTGGAAAAATGGCAAGCTAACGTCTCAGGTTACTTATGTAACCATGGTTCCCTGAGTAGGGAACGAGACACTGCGTCCTCTAGGGGTCGCTATGGGGAACGCCTCAGTTCGAAGTTCCCATGAAAGGGAACTGAAATATTGCATATTGTAGCAGATTGTAAAAAACGAAAGAGGCTCATGCAATATTTTAAAAAAATGAAAATTATTGTAAGGATGTGGAGAGCCTGAATGCTGTTTGAATACATGGCAGACTTCATGTTCAACTACAAGAGAGAATTTTATTAAATAGTATATTTTTATGCATTATAGTAAAAGGAATAAGATTTGTTTTTTATTTGTTTACGGTGTTCTATTTATTTATTTTTATTTAATGCTTTTAACATTGTCTGTTCAAATAAATAATATAAAAAAAAAAAATATCACATATTTTATAAGCCTACTTTGGGCATTGCTTTGTTAAAAATACTTTTCTTTAAAGTGCGTATATTTGGTTTTGTCATTGACCAGAATTTTGAAGAACATTGTAGAATATTGAAAATATTAAAAAATAAATGTAAACAAAAAAAATGTTAAAGAAAAATAAAGCTTTTGCTAATTTTTTTTACCTTAAATTATTGGGAATAGCCATTTTAATTGACCAAACAACACTGTTATCAGTCCTAAATATTGTCTGATTGTATATTGTATATTGTTCTGTCACTAGTATTTTGCATGTGCTAAATGACAGGTGTTTATAGTGACTGGACCACTGACCAGGCTGAAAGGAAGTGGAAGGATGTGAGGTCAGGGCACTTCCTGGTTACTCCAGATGGCTTAAAGCATCTTTTGACTTCAGACTCAAGGTCTGCAATGAACATGACACAGGATACTGGACATAGTGTTGAGTTTTTGTGCAGCTGTTTCCTAGAACCTTCACTGATTCAGATGACAAAAGAAAGGATTCGAAGAATACATTATTATAGTATAACCGCCATAAACCACTCAGCTTTGCCTCGTTCTCAAACACACCTTTGTCGGACACAAAGGAAGAATATATCTGTCAATTCAAGCTTCCTGTTTCATCCTTTCATTTTTCTTCAGCAATTATCCAGCTGTCAGCTCTTCTTTTTTCCATTCTTCTTCTCAAGCTCATAATTGAATAGTGTAAATAGTGTTTGCTGTAGAGATTAGGGTGAGATTGGAGTTCTCAGAGGAGAATTGACAGTGTTATTTCTGAATTTCTGTCCCACTCCCTTTATCTTTCTCTCCTGCCCTTCTTGCCTTCTCTAATGGATATTCTGCTCACATCATACACTAAAACCCCACTAAGGCACTGCGTAGATCTCCGTAGGAAGTGTCTGTTTGTTTTGCAGGAGACAAACCTCTGGGAGGCACATCAAACGCTGGGAGATCTGTGTCCTGCTCCTGCTGCTGTGTGAAGCACTGATCGTCTGATTGCGGCCCTCTCTGCTGCCTTTGTACTGATTATCGGGCCCTTCTATTTGTGCTAATGCTGATTGCTGCAGTGCTACAGATGTGCCAGAATGCCATCTTGTTACCCCGAGTAGCTTGTTCATCAGTCTTACAGATCAAACAGTCAAAAGAATACTTATCAGCAAATAGGCGTTTCCAACCGATAAATGATTTGGTAATACATAATGCTGCATCTTTCCATATAAGTATATGTTTCATTATGTTATATAATGCATATCAGATTCATGTACATTCTGATGTGAATATATTTGCATGGCATATAGTTTCATGGCATTTCTGTCATGAGATGTGGTCTGGCAGGTATTATGTAGCCAACTTTGAATCCGGCTTAGGTAATTTTCCAATCTCACCTGCCACTGTTCTCTGTATCAGTACCTGTCTGATGTTTAGAATGTCATTATGAATAAAGTAACAAAAAGCCAAATATCAAATAATAAAAAAAGCTTATTGCTTACATAATGTATAATGATCTGCATATACAACATCAGCTAATGATCTGTTAAGCATCTTATAATGTAAAAATAATATAAGTACTGACAATGCGTTTGAAATGTCACATTTTATGAGTCAAAACTGTATCAGTGTTATTTTAGTATCGTTGATATACTATTATAGTTTTTGTTAACTAAAGTTTGTCAATTTGTTGTTTTTGTCATTTTTATTAGTTTTAGTTTTTTTTTTAGTTATTGTAGTACTTCAACTTGTTTTTTTTGTATATTATTTCAGTTAATTTTTCATTTATTTCAAGTAATTAATTTTTTTTTCTGGTTAACTATAATAACCCTGACCTGTATTTATTTATTTTTTTTATGTATTTTTTATTTACATGTACACATGAGGGATTGGCAAGCTTTTTCCCAATTTTTTTTTTATCTTGCTTTAACTACTTTTTTCTGCACATATAGATGGATGGATGGATGTATAGCTAGATTTTAATTATTTTATAAGTAATTCACACTACATACTATTTTAAAATATACACTTCGAAAGTAGGGCTCAGTTGAGTTTTTTTTTCTTTTATTATCTGAAGTCTAGTTTATATTTAGCATTCGTGTCTTTAATCTCATGAGGTTTAAAAAAAAAGCCGAAGAGCGCAGGCTTTTCAAGCAGCGTTAAAGATAATTTAAAAAAAATCCCTCTTATTTTCCACATCATTTCATTTGGACTGCTTTCATGTCCTTGAAACAGAGCTCTTCGCTTCCCCCTGCACTCAGTTTACCTCTTTGTAACCTGTTTGCCTTTTGTTATTGCTCAGCTGAGGTTGACTTTCCAAGTAAACCACATCCTACAAGACAGGTGCGGCATATCATCCATAAAGGCCCTCACCAAAACCAGACCACAAACTGTTTAACGTCAGGAGGCGGGTTTAAACCTGTGAACATCTCTGTGTTTCAGTTGCCACAATAGGTTGGTGAATCACAAGTGGAACAGTGACCTGGATCCAGACTTTTTTAGGTGTGAGTGCTGGTTTCCATTGACTTGTATGTCATCCTCTATTGATTTGAAGGATGATTCAGCCTGAAATTGACAATGAGAGATGAGCTCACTGTGTGATGAAACTGCTATAGTTTTATGCTGCGTGATACACACTGTGGTTGTGTGACATTGTCTATAGTTGTCTATATGTATCTTCTTGTGTGTTCTGCAAGAAGATTGCAGTGTTTGTGCAAACAGAAAAAGCTCTGCTTACATTCAGAACTGTGTGTGTGTGGGTACGCGTGTGAAAGAGAGCATGTCAGCATGAGAGAAATTTGCGCTTCCATACTGTGCAGCCTCTTTCAGCAGGTGAACAAATGCTTCTACTGAGCAGTTGCACCAGCTTTCAACATCTTTAACCCCATTTTATTTTTTTTTAACTCTTGCTTTCTCCTTTTTGCCATTTAATGTGGTTAAATGATTAGATCGTTGAATTATTTTTAGTAATATATATTAAACTCTCTAAATTTTATATACAATTTAATTTAAATGTACTTTCATTCATTCTGTCTTTCTTTCTTTCTTTCTGAGTGATTGCACCAGCTTTCTCATTTTCACAGTTTCATGTGGTTAAATAATTGTTTTAATGATATTAATATATACTTAAAAATGTAATTAAATCACACACATACACACAATTTTAATTACATTTTTTATGCATGTATGTGTGTATATATATATATATATATTTTATTATAAGTTATTGCTTTTTTTTTCATTATTTCCAGCTTTCAATATATTTTTATTTTTTATCTTTCCAATTTTATCTTTTTTTATCTCCTTGCCTTCTCCTTTTCACCATTTTATGTGGTTAATTTATTATGTTTTTATTAGTGCTGTCAGTTGATTATTGTCATTGGGTCCCTTTACATGATGTGCTAATTAAATAATCAAATTATAACAGTATTTATCAATATTTGCAGAGAAATGCTAATTAAAGCGTTGAATGCACATTACAAAAAGTGGCTTAATATTTTTTATTTTATTCATTAGAGCCTGTCACTGGTTTACAATTCACTTTGCAATTTGCGATCACTTTGTCAGTCTGTTCCTCTTGGGATATAAGGGGACAGACAGTTCCAGATATTTAGTACTGTGATAATGTTGCATGTCTGACACTGGAAAGATACAGAAATTAATCCTCAAGGCCATCAAATGAATGGTGGCCCCTTGGGTCATCTTCCGCTCCCCTTGCTATAAATTGATTTCTTTGGTCTGGTGTCTTGCTCAAGGCCTGCTATTAGTCACAGAGCACATGTCATGCAGGGCCTGTCAGAGATTTTTTTTTTCCACCCTTTCTTTTATTTGGTGCTTAATGTGTTTTTCTAGCATTTTTTTCCTCCTCTTATCACTCTTGCACTGACACACGTTCTTATTAATAAATGTTGCAAGACTATTCTACAGTTATATTGTTTTGGATTGTGCCTCTAATACTGTAACAAATTATAAAAATTACTCTTTGTTGCTAGTGTCTGCTACATGACTGTGTCTTTCCTACTAAAAATGTTGTCCTGTTTCAGATTAAGAAGACCTCAGAGGCCACTCTCACTACTATCCAGGACATGGTGACCATCGAGGACTATGACGTGTCCGAAAGTTTCCATCACAGCCGCTCCACTGAATCGGTCAAGTCCACCGTGTCGGAAACTTACCTCAGCAAGCCGAGCATCGCCAAGAGACGCGCCAACCAACAGGAGACGGAGCAGTTCTATTTTATGGTCAATTTTGCTTCATTAAGATTTACTAGTATTTTAAATTAAATTGGTCACTTTATTTAAATAAATTTTTTCATAGGCATGTTATCAAGTTTCATCTTTAAACTGGTGCATTTTAAGAAAGATTTGCGAAGACTTATTTATTATTATTAAAGAAATAAATGTCGAAATACATTTTCATAGATAAAATTTTCATATAATCAAGTTTCACTGCAATATAAGAAAGTCTTGCAAAAAAGTATTTAATTTTATTTTATTTTTAATTTATATATTTTAATTTAATTTTATGTTATTTAATTTTAATTAAACAAGTCACTTTATTTAAATGTTTTTCATAGGCATGTTATCAAGTACTTTAAACTGGTGCATTATAAGAAAGATTTGCCAAGATTGGTTGTTTTTGAGACGACAGACAGACAGACAGGTGCATCTCAATAAATTAGAATGTCGTGGAAAAGTTCATTTATTTCAGTAATTCAACTCAAATTGTGAAACTCGTGTATTAAATAAATTCATTGCACACAGACTGAAGTAGTTTAAGTCTTTGGTTCTTTTAATTGTGATGATTTTGGCTCACATTTAACAAAAACCCACCAAGATAGATAGATAGATAGATAGATAGATAGAACGATAGATAGATAGACAGACAGATAGATGGATGGATGGATAGATAGATGGATAGATATAATTTACTTATTTTTTATTATATTTTATTATTTTATGTTTTATTATTATTTATTTTGAGGGAAGAAAAAGCTCATTGAGTTTCATTGCTCATAACAAATATCTATGGCTGGTATGTTTTCTCAATTCACTCTCCACTGGCGGATGTGGCAAAAAAGTTAATTCTGGTGCTGTGCTTGCTCAAGTCAATCTGCTGTCAAATGTTTTTGGTCTCAGGCTGGTCTCAATCATGTCTCTTCACAGAAGTTCCGCGAGTATCTGGAGGGCAGCAATCTCATCACTAAGCTTCAGGCAAAGCATGATCTACTGAAGAGGACCCTCGGTGATGGTATTGTTTGCTTTTCTTTGTTCATAGGGTCAGCCCTTTGAACTGAAAACACACAATGATAGAGATAATTTATAACACATTTGGATCATAATCCCCTTGGCCAGTAGAAACCAGCAGGAAGCTGCTCATGTGGGTGATGCAACCTCATATTAACCTCATATTAATTAAGCGCGATAGTATGGAGGATTATAATTCCCGCATCATGTATAAATCTGCTCATCATGTTGCCTCTTCATGTTTTGGAGCCCGGGGCATTTCAGTTTTGTGTTGTGAACACTGCAGACTGCTGTCAGGGGCCGCTAAGTGAACACTGTGTGGGTGGGATCAACAAATCATGTTCCCTTGCCTAAAATCAACCGTGTCTGTTTTTTAAAGATTGTAGGCAGTAGTCTGCCTGCTGCATACTGACACTTCGATGAAATATTTTTATAGCTAAACGGGTACCTGTAATTCAAACGTAGAATTTCTCTTAAAAATGTACCAATGTACTAAAGGTGTATGTGTGGATGTCCAGTTCCAGACAGATAGCTGACTGCATGTGCTCTACTGAGCATAAACAAAAGCCTCCCCTGGGCCTCTGAAGAACAGTGTTCTCACATTCTCTCTTTCTCTCTCTCTCTCTCTCTCTCTCTCTCTCTCTCTCTCTCTCTTTTACTCAATCTGACACTTCGATGAAATATTTTTATAGCTAAACGGGTACCTGTAATTCAAACGTAGAATTTCTCTTAAAAATGTACCAATGTACTAAAGGTGTATGTGTGGATGTCCAGTTCCAGACAGATAGCTGACTGCATGTGCTCTACTGAGCATAAACAAAAGCCTCCCCTGGGCCTCTGAAGAACAGTGTTCTCACATTCTCTCTTTCTCTCTCTCTCTCTCTCTCTCTCTCTCTCTCTTTCTCTCTCTTTTCCTCAATCTGTTTCTCACACAGGTTACCGACCTGAGTATGCGACTACAAGGTAAAAAATGTTCTCTGCCCTATTCAGTTTGTCTTGTTTGGTATCGTCGTCAGCACATAAAGTGTCAGATGTAATATTAGTTTGTTAACATTTCTCTCAAAGATTACAAACAAAATGTGGCATGAATGAGATCAGTTCTGTCTGTCTTCTGTCTATCCATCCTACTGTATTTATCTGTTTTTTTTATATGTCTGCAAATCTGTCTGTCGATCTATTTATCATTCTATCTATCGTTCTATCTGTCATTCTGTTTTGTCTGCAATTCTGTCTGTCATTCTGACTATTGGTTTGTCTGGTGTTCTGTCTTTTATATCTATCAGTTGTTCTGTCGTTCCATCTGTCATTCTATCTATCATTCTGTCTTTCTATATATGATTCTTTTTCTGTTCTATTTTTCGTTCTACTGTTCTAGCCGTCATTCTTTCGTTCTATCATTCTACCTGCCATTCTGTCTGTCATTCTATCTATCAGTCTGTCTGTTAGTTATGTTGTTCTATCTATTAGTTCTGTCTTTCTGTCAGTTCTGTTTTCATTCTATCTGTCGTTCTGGTCGTTGTTCTGACATTCAATCTTTCTATCGTTTGTTCTGTTGTTCTATTAGTCATTCTATCTCTGTCTGTCATTATATTTATCATTCTATCAGTTGTTCTATCTATGTATCTGTTGTTCTTTGTAGTTCTATCCTTCTCTCTATCTATCAGTCTATTCATTCTATTGGTCTGTCATTCTATCATTCTGCTTATCACACTGTCATTGTATCGTTCTATCTGTTATTCTACAGTTCTAACTGTCTATCATTATATCATTCTATAAATCATTTTTTATCAATCTTTCTATCTATAGTTCCTTTCATTGTCCTGTATTTATAGGTACACTATACATACTATCTCTATATATACAGCATATAGTGATAAGGTCCGAACAGTAGACCAAATGCTTTAGGCTGCTTAATTCAACACAATGCTTTGCACCAATAGTGCTTTTTTATATTCAACCTCTCCCAGAATTCTTACAGGGCACAGTTTAAAAGCATGTGAAAAAGCTCTCCTCTTGAGTAAGGGGCAAGTTTACTGTATTCCTATAGACATTGAAGAGGGAGCTGACAACATTCTGAAATTTAACTCAGATTTTTCGGTATAACCCCATACGATCTTTTCTTTAAAACACCAGCTGTCCAGGCCAAGCCAAAAGATTTCGTGCTTGGACATCTCTCGCACTCCCACTGCCTGCTGTTCCCAGCAGACCTGCCATTTCCATGACCTTTGATGTGTGGTGGAAGTGAAGTTTATGAACAGGACATTGGTGTGTGTGCAGACCACTGAACCAGGCACAATGGGAGCTTACCTCTTACCCCAAATAACCTGAAATCACATGTCCACAACTTCATTTTGTCTCTCAAACAGAATTGTTCGATACACTGTACTGTATTTGCTAAAGCTTACAACAGGTTCAAGATTAAAAGTATAAACATCTCTTTATAGGCCTCCCAGTCTTCCTCCTAAACCGTTTGGCACACAGAGGCCCAGGCCACACTCTGTATTTAACGTTAAGCTGTTTAATGGCAATTTGGAGTCATTTGTTAAGGTACTTAGAGCTTTGGGTGCCATACTACCTGCACTGAATACCGCCGCTTGAAGCCATAATGATCCACGGCTACTTGCTTCTACTTGACTGATCATTATGGCTGGGGAAGGTTTTAAACAGAGCAGAAACGGAGGTGTGTGTGGGTGTGTGTACACATAAAGCGAGATGACGGCGATAAAGTGAGCTTCAGGCATCAACATTCACACAGATGCCTCAGGGCAGCATGAAAGCCTCTTAAAGGGATAGTTCACCTAAAAATATAAAAATCTGTCGCGTGTTGTTCCGAACCTGAACTTTCTCTTCTGTGGAACGCAACAGAATGTTCTAGAATGTTCACTCAGCTCTTTTCCATACAATGAAAGTGAATACTGAAGACAGGTGTTGTAAAAAGAGCCTTATAAGTCGATTTGATGGCTTTGTGTGAGAGTGAAATTTAAGTTTAAACTTGGCAAATCACACAGTTATGAGACATGAGAATTAAAGGAGTGGTTGATCAGCTTTTTTCGAAGGGTTGATTGTGTTTATGGGGTGCAGGGTAACGTGTTCATGCTTCGTTTTTTTTAAAAACGCATTATTTTCACATATTTTACCTTTCTTCTAAATACGCGATGGGCTCAGATTGGTTAGCTGGCCCAGTGTGTTGTGATTCGCTGACTGCCTAGTGCACATTGTACGGAAACGTCACGCCCCCTTACCAATACGGGTAGTTGCATGTTCCCGGGGGCAGAGTTTATGCAAATATCGGGAAGAAGCTCGTTGTAGTCCCTACCAGCCTTTTTTGTAGTCCTTAAACAGCGATTTCTTTAAAAGAAAATCTCTCCCTTTGCATTGAACTTAGAGCGTCGTAACTTTGCAGACGTTTATGCTCTAACAGCTACATTATACACTGACTAAAGTTAAAAAAGTGAAATAATCAACCACCCCTTTAATGCTGTTTGACATCATTGACTTAAAGCTTTGATTTTTAGCATAAAATGACTTAAATTTCCATCTGTTGTGCACATCAAACTGTTGTATGTCTTCAGACGTCTTGACATAAATAGCACATGTCATGTTGACCACTTTTATGGTGCTTTCATGGTCATATTTGGAGTTCATCGCCATCTAGCTATATTCAATTTTGTTGAATGAGGAAAAGAGTGACTTGTATTTGTTTATTTTTGGGTGAACCATGGAAAAAAAGCAAGTCAAAAAAGTTTGGAACGATGTAAGGGAGAGTAAATGGTGACAGATTTTTGCTTTATTTTTGGTGAACTACTTTTTCATTACCTATAATTTAAGCAAAATTTGTGTCAGCACGCCCCCTCTTTTTCTCTCTGTGAGGCTGGAGCTAATGGTGTCATTGGAAGACTAATAATGATTTTGTAGGCTGTTGTTGGTGGCTTGTAGTGCTGGGACCAAATAACCTGGGGATCGCCTCTTTCTCTCTGTTTTTCTGCTCTCTCACTCTCTGGCTCTCTGTCCTGTCATTCATCTGTTCATAGTCGTGGACGTCGGAACTCACACACAAGGCACCAGGTACAGAAACAGTCGGCTTGTGCTGATTTGCTCATTGCTGCATGTCTGTCTAAGCTTCCAGTAGTTCAACTTCCAGTCACCTTTGCTTAATTCTAAGGAGTTGTGAACCATGTACAGTGATGTCTGAATGTCTGAAACCACACTGATTCTGGAATTTCTATTTAAAACCGGAAACGAGGAAACTAACAATAATTATCATTTAAAATAAAATAAAATAAATATTTATATATATATTTATTTTTTCTATTAAAATTTTCAGTCAAATTGTTATGCTGACATAATTTAGTACAAAATTGTCCCTTACAAATGATCAGTATGCAAAATAGAAGCATTTTCACAAGTGGTCTCAGACTTTTGGACCCCATAGTATATGTGTCCATGTGCTTGACATAAGAGTTCATCCTTTTTGGCTTCAGTGACCCTAATGCACACAATTATGATTTATTGAATTTAATGGAGAGAATTTCCCACAAATTAAATAACTTTTTACAATTAATAATAATAATTTAATAATATTTTCATGCTAAAATTGTATAGTGCTTAACACAGGCCAGAAGGTAATTCATAGAATTAAGATTCTATTAAATATTAATATTAAAATTTGAATACTGCAAAGAACATGTGAAAAATAAGGAAAGAAATGGATAATTTAAAAAAAGCATTATGACTAATTATTGGATTATTTTAATCTTTTTGATATAAATTAAGCAATTTAAATATGAAGTAAAAGTGCTGCACAATAGTGCAGAGTTAGTTTTCCAGCATTCCTTGTCTTTTCCACCTCTGTTTCGATTATGATTTATGATTTTTGTATCAGTATCAATAATTAAACGGGTTCATGGCAGTACATTTTGTATTCACCATATTGCACTGATAATAGCTGTGAAATGTAGTGCCTGTGAGGTCTGCCTCTGTTCCTGGCACTCTCACAGTGTTCGGACTTGGCACATTCTCTAGGTTAAAAGCAGATAACAGCATTTTTAAAAACTTGTAAGATAGAGCCCTGCCAAAAAATGAACGAACAGCTCTAACCGCACACAACAGGCAGCATGGACGCCACGATCACATAACTGAATTCACTAAAGCATTTCAGTTTTTCCACCGGTGGCACTGGCTCCATTCATGTTCAAGAACCATGATCCTGCGAGATGTTAGCACGCAGATCTAAGTTGTAATTTCATTTCCTGTCTGAGACACAGAATCTTAGGTGTGCACTTTAAAAAGGGTCTGTAAGGCTCAAGAAGGATTATCTTCTCATCTCCGACATGAATGATACATGATGTGTGGGATATTTTCAGTTGATTTAGAGCTAGACTGATTGTTTAGCCCACATCCTGATTTGATGCCAATGTTTGTCTTGTTTTAAGGACTCTGGACAAGCAATACCAAGAGTTGTTGAGAGCTGTATTCGATTCATCAACCTGTATGGTAAGTTTATTGCAATAACCTTGTAACTTAAACCATAAAATACCCATAATTCTTTAGAATGGCCCACTATTGTCATTAAAACACCCAAAAAGCCTGAAGATGAAGTTTACAGCTTTGCTATTGTCTTTAAAATGGTCCAATCCAATTGCTACCTGTCCTGTCATTAGTTAGGTTTCGGACAAATTTAGAGTCTGGGTAGGTCATGTTTTTGCGTGCCCCTTCCGAATCTGTCCCATCCCAGTGTAGGCCATGCACAGACTTGTTTTAGATCTATTTCAAGTTTAGTGTTTTTAAATGATGTGCTTTCCTGTCAGTGTCAGAGGATGTTCAGTCCAAAGAGGTCTTTATCATATGCCTATATAAACTATGTGTACGCGGTTGTAGATCCTGTGTGCCTATTGTAAGCTCTGAAAGTTGTCTATGTGTGGCCGTCTTACTGGAACTATAGAGATGTTTTTAATTAATCTTTTCTGACCCTCAGCCAAGCTTTCCATTAAAAGCTAATCCGGACTGACGGATGTTTTTGTAGAAGTTGATTGCAGTCTCTCTCCTTCATTCATTATTTTTAATTAGAAAAAAGGAACTTTTTGAAAGCACAGGGCTTAGCTTTTGAGGTTGGGATTTGAATGTGGTTTCTATGGACCTGCCTTTATTTCCAGCGGATTTAAATGGACACTGGAAGATGTCTTATTTAAGCTTATTTCACAGTTTTTCTCTCTATTTTTTAGGCCTCCAACATCAAGGAATATTCCGAGTATCTGGATCTCAAGTTGAAGTCAATGATATCAAGAACTCCTTTGAAAGAGGTGTGTGTGTAAATGTGGTAACAGAGTTCAGGTTTCTGTCATAGCTCTGAAAGCGCTGCCGCAGCTGAATAATAGTGAATCTCTTATGTCTTCAATGGGTCATATGAGCCATGAACCTAAATTCACATGATTTAAGGAGACTTCCTTCCTTGGAAAAACATCTACCGGGGAGAACACGTTTTTGACATTTTTCTTTTTATTTGTATAATTCCATATCAGTATTTCTTGCATGTCAAGATAAGGCAAAATAGTTTATTAGAAGTTGTGTTTTCAACAAATGCTGATGTTTAGGTTCTTTTTTGTGTGCATATATTAAATATAAATATTTTGTTCAGCAGATTTGACACACGTTATGTCTCTTAGGTAATGATCCCCTGACAGACGAAGAGAATAACCACGATATAAACTCTGTTGCGGGCGTTTTGAAACTCTACTTTCGAGGTTTGGAGAACCCTCTGTTTCCAAAGGAAAGATTCAATGATCTCATCTCTTGTGTCAGTAAGTGCCTTATTTTTTTTGCTTTCTACTGGCCTGCAGCTGTAAATCTGTCATTGATTCTCAGTGTGAATTAACAGTGCTTTGAACTGTTATCGTGCGCTCTCATATAAAGAGATCTCAGTCATTTGCCCCCAACAGTGGGACAGTGACTTTCTTCACTGTATGACAAGATGTCCAGCGCCTCAGGCTAACGCTAACAGCCTTATGCACACTCCATTACAGCACAGTGTGTGTTCCACCGCGGCATGACACATTAGGGCTTCAGCTGGTCCTTCAACTGGCATGAATGCAACTTTGTGTGAGTTTGAAAGAGCTCAGAAAGCGTGCTTTATCATGATCATAGATGACGCTACACTGCACTGAATGAATGAATGCAGTGTGACACCATGATGCTCAGTCGTTTCGGTTGGGTTAATGGGATATTTGTGATCGACAGCTCGGTAAGCTGTGCCACTTTTGATGCCAAGTTTGTCCTCTCATCAAATAACAATATGATGTTGTTTTAACATTTCTAATAAAAATATGGACATACAGTAAATGAGTTATGGACATAATGTCTGTATGCAATAGTGTATTTAAATTATATATTATATTAATTAATTAATTTAAAAAAATTAATTATATTAAATAAAAAATATACAAATATAAATTATAAAATATATCAATTTTATATATATTATTATATATTATATATTTTATATATAGTTTTAAATAGTTTTTGAATTAATTTATGAATATATATATATATATATATATATATATCATAGTAGTTGGAGTACTGGCATAGTTTACCCTGAATCTTCTGACAAACTCAAGCCCAGAGCTACAATTTTGAGATATATCTTTCATTTAATAATTCATAACTAATATTTAGCCTAATAATTCACATGGCTTATAGTCATTAGCATTTTTAGACCTGGATGCATTTACTTTGATGTTTACCTGCCATGTAGAATATAGTTTTTCAATTATTTTACATGCAAAAATGTTTTTAGCATAAATATATCACTTGTAGCTTTATATGACAGGCCTTTCTAAATATTTGGCCACATGTCAAAATTTGTGCAGAGTTTGCTAGATTAAGGTGCCGTGCGCTTGCATGTGTGGGTTGGGTGGGTTTTGTTAGTCTGTGCATGTGGAGGAATGTAAAGGCATGTGTTCTTACATACCTGACCAACGTGCGGCCCTGTGCCTGTGACACTCTGTAGAGTGTGACGAATGGGGATTCCCTGCTGTTTACATTTACACATGACTAACCCCTTCCCAGCATACCACACACTCGCTCCAAAGCACACGGCCTCTCCTGTTCTCTGTCCCTGGCAGATCTATATATAGACTGTCAGAGTTGTGCGTTCTCTGCACTGTGGGAGTTTTGTTTCTGCAGACATGTGCCTTGTCTGTGGTGAGGCTTTAACCTGCTTCCCTTACTCAGGATCTTTTGGAAACCCAGTTTCGTGCTCAAGTAAGATGAATAACAGAAGCATAGTAGCATGTTCCCAGATCTTTTTTAATGGTGACATGGCTATTTTACACTGCTATCAGGATAAATCGAGGATCTGGGTGTACTAAAGTATGGATGAGAGCAGGTCACACCAGTTTATAATTAGGCTGATTTTGCTTTTATAAGTACTGTGTTTCTCACAGCCAACCCATGGGATTTTTAGTGGAAATGTCTTGGTAGTCAGATCAAATCATAAAATAAGAAGGAAATTAGAAAGATCACAGCTGATATTGTGTCCAGTTCAGTCATCATACCAGTGTTGCCTTGTAATAGTAGAATAGTATCCTTCCAAACACGGCCTGAGAGTGCTTTACTTAGGAGACCACAAAGATGCGTAATGGAATTCCAGGAAGTGAGTTACACTGGCTCCAATGAGAAAACCCAGTGAAATCTGTGTGCATTCCTGCAGAAGAGCCGCAGGAATACTCACACACATTTTTGGGATGCCAGTCTTCTGGATTAATTTTTTAAGCTCCTTTGAGGAGTTGAGTAGTTTTGAGACATTACCTCTTTTAATGCTCTGGTAATCAGCTTCATTAGGTCCAGGGTGAGGGCCAACAAACCCGGCAATTGAATTTAATGAACACAAGTGAATCGCCTCGTTTTTTTAAAATTTGCTCTCTTTTTTTTTTTTGACAGATAACTTGTTTAATGCAGTTTGCTCTATGTGGTGATTAAAACACTGAATCAAAGAGTGTGTGACAGATACACCTACCTCTATCTGTCATGTCCTCGGTTACAGACTTTTCTGTAAAGTGCAAGTGTATGTACTATATACTTATATATAACTTCTGGGGCAATTTAAAGCAACAAATCAGTATTATTTTAGTATTTTTATATGCTTTTATAGTATTTTTAAACATTTTGAATTAACTTTTATTTATATGTTTTCAGTTTTCATTTTAATTTTAGTTTAGTAATTTTGTTATGTGCTTTTGTAGTTTTTATTAGTTTTTTTCTTATTTTGTAGATTTATTTTTGTTTCAGTTTTAGCCATTTTAGTTCTTCAACTTAAACTTTAGTTAAGTTAGTTGTTAAGACAACATTTTCTTATTTTGTTTCTAGCTTAAGTTTTCCATCTAATATTTATATTCTATTTTGTTTCAGCTTTATTTCAGCTCCCCAATAGTTTTAGTTTTAGTTAACAATAACAACACTGCAACAAGTTCAAAAAGAAGTCATGTGTTTTCCACTGAGAGTTGGCTATTGGAGGCGTCCGTTTGCAACATGACAAGGTTGGCACAGCATTTAACTTTGTGTGATTGAACAGCGGTCCAGAGTTATTTTTTTCCCCCACATAATGAGCTCAGCCTTGTAACTCCATGAATAGAGCTGCAGTGATGTGGTTATCAGTGAATTAACACGTTCAGATAGAGGAATGTCATTTGATACTCAGGGCTGCTAAGTGTTGTGAATGACAACGGCAGTCCTGAATAATCATTTCTGAATGTCATGGCAGGGCAAGTATGTTTCTAGGACTCCTAAGTGGGGGACTTGCATATATATATATATAATTTTTTTTATTTTTTTTCTCTTTGATTTTTACTTGATTTCTCTTTTTTTTTTTTCCTTTCTCTCTCTTGTCTCTTGTAGGAATAGACAATCTGTATGAGAGAGCGCTGTATATACGAAAGATTCTTCTTACTGTACCCAGATCAGTCCTTGTGGTCATGCGATATCTGTTCGCCTTTCTCAACCAGTAAGTCCGAATGTTTCACAAACACACAGATGAATGTCCTTATGGAAATGCTTTTTCCATAAATGCTTATATGAACAGTTCTTCAAATGAAAATATACAAGAATGTTCTTGCTTTTTTGCTGGTTTTCAAATGTCCTAATAGCTTGCTTGTTTTTCCTGCAGCTTGTCCCAGTACAGCGATGAAAATATGATGGACCACTATAATCTGGCCATCTGCTTTGGCCCCACCCTCATGCCCACTCCAGAAACTCAGGACCAGGTCTCCTGCCAGGCCCATGTCAATGAGGTCATCAAAACCATCATCATCCATCACGAGACCATCTTTCCTGACGCGAAGGAGCTTGACGGCCCCTTGTACGAGAAGTGTATGGCAGGCGGAGACTATTGGTGAGTGCTGAGATGTGATGGTGATGTTGGTTTTAATTATTTATTGATAACTGTCTGGGCAACTGCATGTAGGTGGGTGAAGGAAGTGTTTATAAGATAGATGTTCATGGGTTGCGTGCGCAACCTGAGAGATGAGAATCGAGACAGTGTTTGAGCTTGTTAAAGTTTTAGACTTTATTGTATTTTTGAGGATTAGTGATGGTATCCGGACATCCATGGCGTGACTCGAATGAAATAAAAGAAATTATTAGTCAGTGCTATAGTGAGTCACGTATTTTGTTAGCACAGTTTTTGGGTGGGACCTCTTTGTTTTGAAGATCATCTGATCTAGTTGATCCAGGAGGCGAGCATAAATCCTCATAAAATATTTGGAATAAAAGTAATACAGGTCAAAAATGCATAATTTATAGAGATAGTCATCCAGAAACGGAAATTCTGTCATCATTTACTCACAATCCAGCATCATTTTATTATTAATAGTGCTCTGTTTGCTATTATTATTATTAAAATGTATCGTATTTTTAAGGGCCTAAACATGCTTGAAAACTCATGAAATTTTACACACACGCCAGAAGTGCCGAAAATTTTCGTCTGATATATGTTTCAGAAGTGGGTGTGGCAAAATGGCTCGACAACGCCACCTATACACTTTCAACGAAGTACCCCTCGAGCTACGTTTACATACATGTATGAAATTCGGTAGACGCATATAACACACCAATACCTACTCTTGGAGCCAAATCCAAAACCCAACAGGAAGTGAATTATTTTGAATTTTCTCTGCTCTGGGTGTGTTCACGGGGTGTGTGTGTGTTTACTACTCACTGTTGTGTGCGTGCACTTGGATGGGTTAAATGCAGAGCACCAATTGGCTACACGTCTCATCACTTTTTTAAAATTTTGTGTCAGGCATTGTAATTCAACAAACTCCTAGAGATTTAATCAGATTTTAATCTGGAGTTTCCATGTTTGGTTAGAGTCCTGTCCTGAACACATGCCCATGCCCATATTCTGTTACAGTCATAGCGCCACCTTCTGGCAACAGGAAGTGACATGTTTTGCTCTGTAACCAACTCCTCCTAGAGAATTAAGGACATCAAAATTATATTTGGTCAGTCTAATCTAAAGGCCTTTGCGATGTTAAATTGCGAATATCTTGAGTTTTCGTTAAAGAGCGTGTACGTGGCTGCCTGACAAATTTCGATGTTTCGCCATGGAAAAGGAAGTTGTTGTAACTCAGACATACAATGTCCGATCTGCCACAAACTTCACACGTTTGATAAGAGTCCTGGCCTGAACACATCTAAAGACCACTATTCAGTTATATTCACAGCGCAACCTGCTGGCAATAGGAAATTATTTGTTTTACACTAACTTAAACATGCAATGTCTGATCTGCCCCAAACTTCACATGTTTGGTAAGAGTCCTGGCCTGAAAACATCTACATGCAAATATTCAGTTATAGTCATAGCGCCACCAGCTGGCAGCAGTTTTCCTATGTGAAAAGATGAGGTGCCGATAGTGAGCTCTTTAGTTAAGGTGGGACATTTTTTAGAGGCCGAAAGGGTTTGGAGATCTTCAGCTAGGTGAGACAGACTGAAACCAATTGAAACTAATTGCTGCCATTAAGGTAAGGAAAGATCGTCAGCCAAACCAACGTTCATTTCTCCCAAAAATTTGCATGGATGAGAAGAGGAAAGAGACATTTTCCGCCAGCTCCACAGCTGTGTGTATGTGTTGGCTAGTGATTTTGTTGTCTCAAAGAGAGCGGCCTAACTCCCACAAGTCTTCATCCCCCAAACTGAAGCAAAACACCTGCCACTGCAAGCATCTATACTTCAGCATTCCTGCAGCCGGTTCTCATATTTTCCCCTTTGGTAGTGTGACATGCGGGAGTGGCAGTGCTCTGTTTGAAATGGCTTTACTGTGTGTCAGAGGTAATCTGCATGGATGTGAAGGGCATTAGTGCCAGTCTCAGTAACCACACTGTGCCACTGACAGAATCCCAATCACCCTGCCCTACTCCTCTTGAATACTAATGACAGCCTCTGTACTTTTTGCTTGATACTGAGTTTTACTCTGGCTGTGACTTAACTCTGTGTTGCCCTGTATAAGCATTTACATACAAAAATACATTACCATTTAAAAGTTTTAAGTCATTAAGAATTATCTTAAGCTCACCAAGGTGGCATTTATTTGATTAAACATACAGTAAAAACAGTAATATTTTGAAATATTATTACAATTTAAGGTAGCTGTTTTCTGTTGTGATATATTTTAAAATATAATTTATTCCTGTGATGGCGAAGCTGAATTTTCACCAGTAATTACTTCAGTCTTCAGTGTCACATGATCTTTCAGAAATCATTCTAATATACTCATTTGGTGCTCAAGAAACATTTCTCATTAATGTCAATCTTGGAAACAGTTGAGCTGCTTAATATTTTTGTGGAAACCGCAATACATTTTTTTTCAGGATTCTTTGGTGAATAGAAAGTTCAAGAGAACAGCATTTATTTGAAATAGAAATCTTCGGTAACATTATAAATTTTGATCAATTTAATTGGTCCTTACTGAATAAAAGTATTTATTTCTTAAAAAACTAAATCTTTCTGACCTCAAACTTAACCCCAAAACAGTAGTATATTTGTATTTTAGGATCCACAAAACCAGTCAAAAGTTTGGTCCAAATTATGTAGTGACCAATAAATGTTAAACAAATTAAAACTGTTATATATTTTAATCTTTTTTTTACTTTACTTTTTAAATGTTTTATAGTGATTTATACATATAGACAGACTTCACAGTTTGTGTATATACAAAATTCGTTTCAAACATTAAGCACATGACTTTAGATTAAAAGGTTTTGAAGCTCATCAGAAACATTTAATTATCTGACTTTTATTATTAAGTCCTTAAATATTTGGTTATAGTTCCTATAAATCTATTATTTGGCAAAAATAATTCTTTGTCTTGATTTATTTATTTATTTTCTTCTGCAGTGAGAGTCCATACAGTGAACATGGAGCTCTTGAGGAGGTTGATCAGGATAGAGGAGCGGAGACCCACACCAGTGAGGATGGTAAGTTTATTTTGTTTACCACACCCTGTAGTAGTATGTACAGTATGGCAACCCATACCAGTTTATGTAGGTTATACATTAAGAAAGCACTCTGAGGTCATAGGAACAAGGTTAAGTCATCTTTTCCTGTCCAGTCATTCTTCCCATTGGCTCAGATTGGCTTCGGCCAGTGAGCCTCTGGATTGATTTTACTTCATATAACGTTTTCTGACACGGCCAGTCAAGAGTTAGTTCCTGCTTGCCCTGACCTGGGTAATCACTTTCACAGCTCTAAATGAAGTGATCGTTAAAGAGCAGAGAACTTAGTCCAACTCTTTGGTCCTCCTTTTTGTTTTCTAATCCTTTGGGAAGGGAGACAAATCCGTAAACAAAGGAAGAGGGTTTGAATCAAGTCTGGTATATGCTTTCCACTGTGCTACAGGGCAACATAGACCAGTCTGTCATTGCTGTAGGGCAGTTTGCATTAAAAATACATGTGGAGTTCTCACCAGTCTGGCTCAGTTTTTTTGTTGCTGCATGTAGTTTTATTATAGAAAAAAACTTCTCTAGAAGCTCACTGTCACAAACAAAACTAAAACCAGATGCTTGGCCCATTGATGACACATGAACCAATTCTCATGTGTAATCTGAGAAATAAACTGCAAGTGTCAGACTGAAAACTCAACTCAATCACGTGGTTTGTTTTTGTCTTCTGTACAGTCTTTCAAAAGAACCGAAAGGAAAATGTTGCTGCTGACCTGTATGTTACCCCACTGAAAATAGACACATTTCCTGCCTCTCTCCGTCTGTACCTGAACAATGCCTGTTTTCTATTTTGTTATTTTATAAGAGAAGTGGGAAGTCTGCTTTTTCCATATCTAAGATTTGTCAGACAGACAAAAGCCAAGTTTATTGTATTATTTAAGAGCGAGTGTCTGTGCAGGGAGTCAGATAAATGCTAGGACTGAATCAGAAATACCAAAAACACAACTTTATTAGAAAGTAGTTGCTTTGAAGTCTATTTTTGTTTTTGGAGCATGAAAACAAATAGCAATAGACTCTCCCTGTAATTGCTCAAATGGGAATTATTTATTTGACTAAGGCAAGAATATTATTGTTCATTCTTGTGTATTAAGTATTACTCAAAGACTAATAATTTGTCCCTCACTGTTTGTGCTACGAACATGAACATGATACCTCAAATTGTGCTGCTTGTTGAGAAGATTTGTGATAAAACTGACCATAAAATAGACTTAAAGTTCCCCTGAAATGCTTAGAAACATGCAGCGTTACTCTGTGTTGACGTCATTTTAACTGAAACAGGCAGACAGGGCGGGACATATCAAGCAGCCCCGCCCCTTTTTAAAATAGCCAATAGCGTTCGTTTATATCACAGCTTGGGCTAGAGCCGTTCTGAGCCGTTGAGCTCCGTAAAGCCGCATTTGACAGGGTATGCCAGCCACAATCTCATCCATATTGCTATAAAATATAGCATTCTGTGTAGAATTCAAATAGCTCCGATATATTTTGTGGTCTGTGCTGACTCGTGCATGTGATCCGCTCTGTGCTATCGTGTCTCTGGACCGGAGCAGAGTGTGTGTGCGGTGCGGTGGTTAGCGTGACACAGCGCAAAACCAGACTTCTTTTTTTTCCTCAATGGAAAGCATATTTACACTGTTTGAATCGTTCCCTGTCCCCTATATAGTGCACTATGTGCCATTCACTGTACAGAAAATACTAATTCTGTGGACAAGTGACCGATTTCAGCCGCGGCTTCAGCGTCTATTTTATAGTGTAGGGGGTGGGCGCTTCGGATTCTAGAGAGCATTTGATTGGACAGAAAGTTTGATGAGAAGCTGAAGTACGATGTGACGTCAAAAAAATCGTTGAGCCGTTTTGGCGGAAGTGACGAACTGCAAGCTTTGAATGCTTATATCTTCTAAATGCGAATTTTGTCACTGTTTTGGAGCACACTGCCTTATAGATAACCTTAAGACTAACATATTGATACTAACACCCAAAAAACTTTAATTTTGATTTCATGGGGACTTTAAGGTGCAGTTCCATAAGCAAAAGTTTGGTGAAATTTTGTGAGGAAAAAGGTCCAATATTGTAGCGATTTTAACTTTGAAACCAAGCAGCTTTTTGTTGATTTTGAACAGTTTTGTTTTGCATTGGTAAACGCGACTCTTAAAAAAAAAAATAAAAAATAATAATAATTTAACTGTAACCTGTCACTAAGTGTTAAACTGTAACTGAGACTTGTGTCCAACTCTGACATCATGCCGCCATTATTCGTCCTGTCTCTCCTTCTCTAAACACTGCTGAACAGACAGATCTCATATTCACCAAGTATAAACAGAACCCAGAACCTCTGGCGTTCAATTTATTTAGGATCGGATTCATTGAAGGATATTACGCACAAGCGTGTCATTTGTTCATAAATCACTATTAGACATCCAGACATGCACATCTGCATGCTGAAGATTAATTTTGACTGTTCCCATCTTATTGTCTGTTTAAATTTCATGAACCTATAACATTTAACTGAGAAACCTGTCAGGGTTTCCATTAACTAACACAGATGTCAAATATCAACGTCAGACCCAATAACTGACCTGAAAATTGTAAAATTGCTCTCAGCTTCCATGGGTTTGCTCCAAATGTTTTCTTTATGAATGTATTGAGGAGGTTTTTCCCAGTAGAGGAATTATTGTTCTCTTTCGTCACACTGTGAACATAGCTTATGTCCGATCTCACTTATGGGTAACTTGTGTGTTTTGTCTTGTTTCATAATAAGCAATTTGGATTATATTCTATTTCTAAATCTTCTCTCAAAAAAAGTCTCAGTTGGATATTTATCAGCTGTCATTATAATGGAGACGTAAACAATCCTGCGGAACCGATGGCTGTACTGTTAACTTCAAGCATAATTATATCAGCCTGCTCAAACCTGTGACCAGTGCAGCATCTGTCCTCAATCACTGCGTCTGAATGGGATCGTCTCAGGGCCCATCTGGAAAACCACTTTGCCAAGTGATGGGACCCCTGCTATGCCTTTAGAGCCATTTATTCATTCAAGTGAACTGGAATAAGCAGACAGAATGCTCTCTTGGGAAGAAAAAGACAAATCTCAGCATCTGTGAGAAATCGATGTACAATAAGAATATTGTCCGTTTTGGAAATGCTGGTTTGTGTGATATATTTGGTTAAAAGTTAACATGAAATCAAAAATGATCTTATTTATTGTTTTAATAAAAAATAAAAAAAAATATATATATATATATATATATATATATTTCAAATAAATTCTTCTCTTTTGAACTTTCTATTCATCAAAGAAAAAAAAAATGAGGTCACGGTTTCCAAAAAATATAAAGCATCACAACTGTTTTCAACATTGATAATAATTTAAAAAATATTTATTGAGCATATATCTTATTATCAGCATGTTAGAAGGATTTTTGAAGGATTTTTGAGTAATGATGCTGAAAATCCAGCTTTGCATCACAGGAATAAATTAAGTTTTAATATAGGCTAAAATAGAATACAAATATTTTACATTTTAGAAATATTTCATAATATTACTATATTTTTGAACAAGTATATCATTGGTGAGGATAAGAAAATTATTTTATAAACATTAACAAATCTATTATTAAATATAATTTTAAATTATGAAAATGTGTCTTAATATCTTACGCATTATTGCTTTTAAAGTAAATTTATCTTGGGGGTTTTTTTCAGTTCTTAAAATACAACATTTTCTTGAATATTTGTGTTCACTATAAAATAAGTCACATTATATAATTCAAATGGGTATTGAATTCTAATTCATGTTGAGTTTACTTAGAATGTTTCTCTTTTACAACAAAACTTTGTTGAAATGCCAGCCTTTGAGTAGAAAACCGAAAACATGTGGTCTTTGTTAAAAGACAGAACATTTCTTAACAGGCCCCTGATGATGTTGCAAAGAGCTCATTTTCTCTTCTAAATGGCAGCACCCCTGCAGTCTGCAAGCATGTCTCTATTAAAAACATTAAAAAGCAGGAAATGCAGCTTACAAACAGTTTTCTACTCTGTCAGCCTTTATTCCTCCTGGGTCTGCTTGCAGCCGCGGGTGCTGGTGTGTAACTTACTGTTAGAGCAGTGTATGTTTAGCCAGAAAACCTAGCATGGGTTGTTAGCTCTCCTCTGGGGCAAAAGGGAGTCCATATGGTATAATGTGTAATCAACTAGAGCAAGCGAGTGCAAGAACAACATTAATGTCTGTGAATAAAAATAGTACCATAACAAAAGTTACAGTCTCTTTAATACAGACTTCCGAATGAGTTAAAAGTGTATCGTGAAGTGCCTTTGTGTAATTTAGTGAGCAAGGTTTTGGACCGTAAACAAATGAATTATTCTGGTCAGTGTCTGCATTTTCTTTCTTTTTTTAAATTGTTTTCTGAGCTAAAATCATACATAATTTAGGTACATTTTTGACTGTTACTTTGTCTGCCTCCTGTCTTGTCAAACACTGTCCTTGCAGCACTATGATACATGAACAGGCTTTTGCAAGGACACTGAATGAATGACAGCGTCTTGTCAGGCAGAGATGGAGGAGAGACAGGGACGTGTGGACAGTTGATGGCCATATTGATCTCCACCCCGTCCTCGTTATTAACAAGGTGCCTGGTCTCAGAGCAGGCACCCTATTAATTCAGACAGTCAACAGTCAGACAGTCAACAGACTGTCGAGAATGAAAAAGCATTTCCTCTTTGAGCTTGTGCTTCTTGTTTTTATATTGCTTTTACTGTTCCTGTGTAAAATGGATTGTGTATTCTCTTTTGTCTGATTTGTTAATGTTTTCCCTAATTTTTCTGTCTTTATTTGCAACAATGGTAAAGCTGTGCCTTTCTCCAGAGGTTTTTTTTTTTGAATACTCACAAGTATTGCTACATTTTCACTAACATTTTTGACAGTTTTGATGTTTGACTAATGACTGTAATGCATTACAGAAAGGAAAGAAATAGAAAAAGTCTTAGAAAAGACTAAACATATATTCACAATATGCATTTAATTACATTTAATTTCAAGTCATTTTTAAGAGACTTGTGTTTTTACAAAATTACCATGGTGTTACCAGGGTTTTATGGACGTAGTAAAATGATAATTCCATGATGGATGTGGACATGCTGGTAATAATGCTGGTAGTTAAATGAAATAATTACATATTTAAATATTTAAAAAAAAATGTAAATAATGAAATCTCATGTTTTTATTACATATTTACATGTACTATTTAAATATAAAAATATATAAATAATTTCTAAAATATAGAAAGCAATCAATTTTATTTTATTTTTTAAACTTTAGGCTGTGCTGAAGGAAGTGCAAGCACTGTCATTCCCCTTCAACTGTAACTTGATTTATAATTTAGCAACATTTTAATGAGACTTTTTTTGGTTTTACAGAAAAGTACCATGGTGTTATGACCATAGTAAAATTGTAATATTATGATAGATATCACCATCGTCACTTTTTTTAAGTATATTTGTGTAATGTGTAAATACCATTGCACAAAAATATGGTATTCATTCAGTATCACAGTTTATATCCATTTATAAAAAGCACAGTGGTGCTCATAGATGCTGATTGGTAATTTTGCTTAAAATGTATTATTTTTATTTATAATTTTTGTTAAAGCTAATTTTATTCAATCATATATTAACTAATAGAAATTTGTATTTAAATATTATTTAATAAATATAGTTTTAATTAAATATTGAATTGCGTCATTTTAAATATTAAAACATTTATATAAATAAAATAAATAATTATTGAATTTTTATATTTTTTGTAAAGGGTTGCAAGCACTGTCGTTCCCCTTTAACTGTGACTTAGCTCATAATTTAGCATGGTGTCTTGTACCTTATTACTCAAGCACCATAGTATTGCCACCAATGTATCACAGTGCTGTTTTGTAAGAGGTGTTGCACTCATTTGGCAGGAGTTGTGATGTTGTTGGTAAGGTCCACATTGCCCGATTGTCCTGAAGATAAGAACAGCCCGTTCTGCCAGAACTGCAGATACTTTGCATGCATTGAAGCCTGTTGGCTCTCTAATGAGTCCTTACGTATAGGGGGTCATGGTGGCAAAGGCATGTACAGCAGCTAATCAGAGACCCTATAATGTTGATGCATTGAAATGCTCTTATTCACGTGATATCGGTTTCCGTTCTTCTAACTCACTGAATTAACCATGCTGTGTTTTTTTTCTTCTACAGAGGGGGAGCCCATTGAAGCCATCGCAAAATTCGATTATGTGGGCCGCTCTGCACGGGAGCTGTCCTTTAAGAAGGGTGCATCTCTACTGCTGTATCAGAGAGCGTCGGATGACTGGTGGGAGGGCAGACACAACGGCATAGACGGCCTAGTGCCTCACCAGTACATTGTTGTACAGGATATGTGAGTATCTCTACCATGATAAAAGAATATAAATAATAATAATAGCACTTCAACAGAGTTTAATGTTATTAACCTTTATTTCAACAGGCAAGAAAATACATAGCACACAAATACTGGGCTGAATAGATTTACCTGTTTTTGAGTTTTAGTCTGTTTAGTCCTTTTCAGTATTATATAATTATAATTTATAATAATTCTACTTCAGATTCTAAATTTAACTCTCTGTACATAGAATAAAATTAACATAACATTTAACAAATTAGAAATAAATTTGCAAGTTTACATAAATCAGAAATAGAATTGACTGTTGTACAACACAATGTAGAAAATCGAATAAAAAATTAGGATAAGATATTATGTTTGTAAAAGGGAAAATGTAAGAGGCAATTTATTATTTATGTAGTATATATTAGGGCTGTGACTCTAATAAAAATGTAACTAATTGCACAGATTTTTATGATTAATCATGATTAATCACATATCAATTATTATTGTATATTATGTATATATTACTATATATAAATCATATATATTATTATATATAAATAAACAAAAAAAGTAATCACAATTAAACAATTTACATATGTAATTGTCATATTAATGTAGAATCATCATAAAATATTTTAAATAATATTTATTATTTATATTAAATAATATTTTAAATAAAATTTTTATTGGCACCTGGGTAGTGAATTTATTGTTTGTTTGCTTTTCATTATTATTTATTTTAATATTATGTTATTTTCCCCAGCCCTAGTATGTATAGTGTAATATTATTTATTTTGATTTGTCCACTATTTTATTTTTTCCCTGAGCTTGTCACATTCTGGGATTGCCTTCTCCTCAAGAGATAAACAAGCTGTGTCCAAAATTAAGAATTTGCGACCATTAATAACATATGTTCTATATTACAATCTAGACATACTACATCTGCCTTTTGAATACTGTATATTTGCAAATACAGCTTTGATGTACTGCTTTTTGCATACTATGTAATATGGAAGTAGGCGTAGGGCATAAAATGCCTAATTACAAGGAAATGTACCTATGAAGCCTTAAAATGCTGTCAAGGTAGGCACCTAGATAGATTTGGAACATAACTTGAGGCTCTGAGTTTAGTTTCACCACTCTGCTGTGGACCATCTCCTCTGGTAAATCCCTTTATCGTCATGACAACTTGTTCCGCCTGGGCAACCATTGGCGCCTAGTTAAACAGATTATGACTCATAAGGGGGGCAAATCTAATGGATCGGGCACAGTACTGAGTGACGCCAACAACAGAGCCCATACCAGCCCACTGTGTGTGTGTGTGTGTGTGTGTGTATCAGTAATTCACATCATGACCCTCTGTTTATGAGTGTTCTTGGCTCGTGGCACTGAGAGAATTTACAGCCTGGTGTAGAGAGGGAGTTTAAGAGGCCCTAGACCAGCAGCCCCTCAGTCCAATAAAAGAGTGAGAGAGTGAAAGGATGGACAGCTCATACACACAGGATATCCTCTATGGCACGCATGCAATGGAGAGAATTCACATTACAGCTGATAGAAATGTCTGTTTGGTGTTAAAAAAACATGCACATGTGACCTAATGTTCTGTCCAGTAGGCTGTATCAACAGCTGTGATTTTACACAGGACTCGTGGAGCTTTACATGCTCTCCAAGTCTCTTTCACAGGCCTCGTGTCAGGGCTTTAACGCACCAGTCAACACAAGCATCAGCTCAGCTTTCACGGTTACGTAGAACCAGAGTAGGGGGCGCCATCTTACTCCCATGCCTGGCAGAGTGAGGCCGCGTGGGCCTCGCATCGCTCGAAAAAGACCCTGGAGCTCAGCTTTCATGGTTACGTAGAACCAGAGTAGGGGGCGTCATCTCAATCCCACGCCCGGCAGAGGGAGGCCGTCTGGGCCCTGCGTCGGTGAGGGGAACGTGGGCTAGGCATCTCTCCGTACAGCCCCTAGGGCTCAGTTTGTGTTCCCAGACGAGGGGGCCACCGTCTCGCCTCACCCCGGCCACGGTGAGGGTGTGTGGGCAGCCAGCAGCGCCAGTTCAGCTTACCAAAATTGGCACACTAGGCGTCTTGACCTTCACAAGATAGCAATGAAGAAGGGCAATGTTACAAAGCTGCAAGTTAGTCAGGAAGTATACATTGTAAACAGCAAAAAACAGTGAAAGCAAATTTCAACGTTATGATGTTTGAGCTTACGGCAGGAAAAGATGTCCTTGTGATTGATTGCTTTAAAACATTGCTGAAAGGTTAGTGACAAAAAGTTGAATGTTTGAATTATGTTCAGTTACTGTAGGGCTGCACTATTAGTCGAAATAAAATCAAAATTGTAGTATGGCTTACTGCAATTATCAAATCACAAATGCTGCAATTGAATTAATTATCTAAATATATGCAAAGCGCAGCACTATGTTCTTTTGCACATGAGCAACTCATGATACAGTGTTTTCAGTGTCTCAAAGCCTCTTGATTCACATGAAATGTAAATAATAATAATAATAATAATGTTATTTTTGTTTATTGTGATATAAAATCACAACATTTTTGGAGAAATAGTACTTTCTTACAAACAAGCACACACAGCATAATAATTAATAATAATAATTAACAGTAATAATAACAATAATGTTTATTATTATTATTATTATATGGTCATATTGATATATAATAAAACAATTTTTGGACAAATTGTGCAGCCCTTTAAAAAAATCTAAGCAAAACCGTAGCTTTTTAAAAATAATAATAATTATTATTATTATTTTATTATTAATATTATTTATTATTATTGTTATTGTTAATTTTTATTATTTCATATTGTCATATTGATATGTAATTGCAACATTTATTTTGTCAAATTGTGCTGCCCTACAAACAAGTACAGCAAACCGGTTGCTTTTTAATTTGAATCACATTTTATCAGAAAAATCACAATTAGATTTTTTCCCCAAGTCATGCAGCCCTACGTTTAGTGTATTGGGGAGTATTGAGTGAAAAGTAAAAGCTCAGCGATACAAACCAAGGAGTGCCCACCTGGGACATATTTTTGACTGTTTTGAAATGTGTTTTGGTAGCAATCTGAGCTGCTCTTGTTGTCTGTCGTGAAACAGTTTGTATTTTAAACATTAAACTAAGCCTAATGCGTGTAAATGGTTTTTATAACTGCTTGTTTGCTGTTTTACAGGGATGACACATTCTCTGACACTCTGAGCCAGAAGGCGGACAGTGAGGCCAGCAGTGGGCATGGAGGAGAGGAGAAATGCTCCAGTAGAGACATTGGGTCTCCAACAGACAGCAGGCTACCTGATGCCTACATCAGCAGGTGAGTGAACGAACCAGTGTTAATTTCGTTGACGAATAATTTGTCAACAATTTTTTTCACTGACGACAACGAGACGATAACGAACTAAAACTCTTTTTGAATGACAAAAACTATGACGTAAATCTATTGACATTTTCGTCAACGAATAAAAACGAGACGAAAATGTTAGGGAGGGACGATTTGAGAAGAGATTCATTCAGAACGAATCTGCTGCGTGGTTCGGAGGTTAGATGCGTACATATGAACTGGTGGGACATAAGCTAACATACACTTGCTGCATGTTGCATAAAACGTTCAAAAATGTCAATATGGGAGTAAGAAAAGAGCAGACATATGGATAAATCTGACGACGCAAGAGAGAACTCAATTCGGTCCGGTTTTCACAGCACGCGAGTACTCTTTCGCGTCGCATGAATGGAGAATTACACACAAAATTATGTCAAATTGTCCGTTTTGA